TGTGATAGTAGGGGTGCAATTCACTTTGCAAAAATTAGGTGCATCATTCTCAGATGAATCATATCGATGTTTGATTCCACTTTGTTCGTGAGATTATGGAAGAATGAGAGATGCTACTTCAGAAGATTGGTACAGCAGGCAATCCAACAGATGCTACATCAGAAGATTGGTACACTGTTTTGCCTTAATCCACTTGGATCATGTTTGAGCATCTTCGAGTGCATGTGCCTTAGGGCTTAACTTGGAGGCAATCCCAAATTTTGTGGTGCGTCTTCTATGTTTAAGTCTCTCTCTCTCTCTCTCTCTATATATATATATATATACATTCTCTATATGTGTTCTAGCTCTTGTTCTCAATATTCATAGACATCATCAATCTTTGATGTGGTTGAGTGTTCTAGTCACTTTCCGCAAAACAAATTGGTATCAGAGTCTGGATAACAATCTAGGCTTTGTTCATTTGCTTCTGTTGAAGTTTGTATCATTGATGGTTCTTGAAGATTGAACAGAATATTGTCAAAGAGAACTCTTCTATCAATTTCATTTTGAAGGGAAAACTTGAAGATGATGATTCTAGATCTCATCTTTTTTGGGAGGTAAGCTTTTGATATATTGCTTATGACTTTCCTCATTGTTTTTTTGATCTTCCCTTTGGATATCAAATTTGTTTGCATAGGCCTTTTGATTTGGTGAAGATAGATCATTTGGAGACTCAGTTGAGTCACTAAGATTGTTGATGAATTCTAAACTTTGGTTATGAAGTTTGCTCAATACTTCAGAAAATTTGGCTCTTTCGTTATTGTTTGAAGTTTGTTTTGGTGCTTTGGAATTTGGTTATAGCTTGTTTGCATCAATAGTTTATTTGGTTTGTTTGGTTGACTCCTTGTTTTGATTTTCTCAAAATTTGCTCGACTCTCTTATTCGATTGTTATTCATTGGGCTCTCTTGTTTTGGTTCAAGCTTGATGCGAGCAAATTGATTATTGCTTGTGGAGTTGCTTGGATGAAGAATTTGAAGCTTCCATTGATTTTGGATTGGTCTTCTTAGCATTGGTTTATGTGGTTTGTTTGTGTTGTTCACCATAGTTTTATATAAGACAACTTGTTTTATTTGGCGCCTTTGTTTTGCTTTTCAAATTTTAGAACTTGGCACCATGGTAAAGTTTGAAGTTTGGTTTGGGATTGCATAAAATTAGAAGAGCTAGCTTGTTTTGTTCTGCAATTTGTTTAGATGGCTCGATGTGTCTTGAGTACTTGTTTGATTCTGCTATTTCGTTTTGCTTAGCCTAATTCAATTTAAGTGCCCATAGTTGGGTTCGGTGTAGCAGAATTTGTTCAGTTTGATTTTGATTATTGGGTATCTCACCTAGATGGATTCTTGTTTGTCTTGGTTCAGCTTTTGTTTCAATGCAACAGCTAAAAATCTCACCAATGTGGCAATTTGTTTGTTGGTTGGCTCATTGTAGCTCGACATGTCGCTATGGTGGATATTGGTTGGATTATTAGCCCAATGTACACTCTTAATATGATTTGGATTTGAAATTCTATTTCCTAATTGGAAGAGGATTTGCGAGCAGTCAAATATTGACTTGGTTGTTACTCCCATATTAGTTTGAATTAGTGAGAGACCTATTTGACTTAGTTTGTATTTTCTAAAGTTTTGAATTTAGGGTTTCCTAATTGGTTTTGGATTAGAAAGAAACCTATTTTGTTTTAGGAAAAATTCGTTGACTATAAATAGATAGAGACTCTCAATCATTCAGTCAAACTTTTTAGTTCCTTGGAGCCCCCAAAGGAGTTTTGTTGGCAGGCCTTCAAGTCTTTGGTACGGCCCTTGGTCACTTGGTGCCTCTTGGTTGACACTTTAGTTTCAAGAAATACATGGGTTTTGGTGAAAGATCAGAGAAACACCATTGTAGCTCTTTATGCATTCAATCTAGTTTGATAATAAAACTAGTATTTATGGGATTGCTCGTAGAGATAGGCGTAGACACCCATTTTGACCGTCTCTGAGACTTGGGCACCCTTTTCTAAGCACCTAATGATGAAAATCAAAATGCGTTTGAAAGAGGAAATCTCAAGTTTGAAAGCAGATTTCTCTAGCAGAAAGCTTGAGTTTGAAAGCGGATCCTAACCTTTTTCACCCGTTTTGACAAAATGTTGTCAAACCTTTAAAAACCTTTTTTTAAAATGATTTTTTTGTTGTGCATAAATTCGATCATTTCCATGATGTTTAAGCTCATCTTTTCAATCAAAATACTGTGATTTTTGTTAAACCGAGCAAAAACAAAGTGGAAATGAATGGAAAATAGGAGAATCCTCTTGAAAAACCTTGTTTTCCATACAATTTATCTCAGCTAGACAAAATTTAGTCCAGTCGTAAAACTTTTATGCCTGGCCGACCATAAAAGAGAAGGTCGAACATCTTTTGGCTGGCCGTACAAAATTGTCGAGAAACAATGGTGTTTCTAATAAATTTATCGATGCATGTAAGGTTGCCACCTTCATAATTTTTGCGCAAATTACAGACCAAGTAACCTTCAGCCTATAAATTCACCTCTCTTTCACTAGTTGGGAAGGAGAGAGGTTTTACAAAGGCATAGAGACACTCCTCTTTGATCTCAAAACCTTTTGGGACCTTCAAATTTTCTCTCAATACTTGAACCTATAGATACACCATTGGAGCTTGAAGCTTAAAGCAACTTTTTGCTGGGAATTCAAGTCTAATCCTAGAAGCTTGAGTGTGCTTGGAAGAGGGTTTGCTAATCAAGAAGCCTTTCTTCATCACTTGAAGTAAGTTCTTCAACTTTCTTTGCACTTTCTCTTCTATTTTCTCTCATTTTCTCTCTTGCTAAACACTTTGAAATATTGAATTTAATCGTTTAATATGTGATTGGGCATTGTAGATAGTGGAAGAGATAAGCCACCCCTCCATAGGATTGGTTAGATTGTTTGAATTCTAGTTTTTCTTACACTTTCTCTCTCATTTTCTCACCTCTCAAACACTCTAGATTCTGATTTAGATTAGTTTTAGACTTGTATAGAGGGTTCTAGTCCTTCCCTATGTTTTATGTTCACAATTCTCTTGTTTGCTTTCATTTTCTTTCATTTTCCATCACTTTCTCACTAATTTTCTCATCATCCAAACAAGTTTAATTACATGATTCAATCCATGTTCACAAAGAATTTGGGTTGCTTTGTGAAATTAATTGGGTGATTTATAGGTCTAACTTGGTGGTTAGAGATTTATAGATTCTATTTTCTTTCACTTTCTTTTATTTACTCTCATGTTCTCTCTACTTTCTTGGAAGCTAAACATGGTTTCCACCTAGAAGTGACTTGTAATATACTATCTCCATCGACTTGTAACATGGATTTGGCTATCTATTTACTCTTTTCCGTGAAAGATGATGTAGATTCATATTCACTTCTTTGATTTGCTTCTTGTTTAGCTTCAATTTTATGTATTTTTCTTATATGATTATCCTTGATTTTTCATATCTTTGATGAGCAAGGAAGTCTATCATCTCATCCCTTGTTCTATGATGAGTATGGTAGTTCTCATCATTGTTTTGCTTCTATGATCATCATGTGATCTTATATATCCATTGGTGATTGAGGAAGATCATCATCTCATCTCTTCCATGATGAGAATGGTGGATTTGATTCATTTTCATTCTTTATTTGTTTGTTTCTATGATCATCATATAGTACCATGTGATATTTGGTAGCTTTTCTTGTGTTTTATTTTATAGCTTTGTTAATATAGTTAGCTTCCATTATCCTTTCCATTTTGCTCTCCATTAGTATAAATGTATGTATATCCATCTCATCTCTTACTATCCCTTTTATTTAGACCTTTTTATATTCTTGGCATCATATTTTTCTTTATTCATCATTTACTCATATTTTGCATCCATTTTTCATGCATAAGGCTTGGTTCGTTCTATCTCTCTTCTCTTTATCTTTTATGTGATTATATGCACTACCCCATGTCTTGAGATGGTTCATATATCACATGTTAGTAGCCAAGTCTTTAGTTTTATTTTTTGTGTGTTGCATTAGTTTCTTTGCATCTAAGATCATGCATATTTTTCTAATCTTTTTTGCTTAACATGGTGCGAAGGAGTACTAGGTGAGGTTATTTTATCTTTGCATCCCAACTGTGTGTTTTCTTTACTATGTCTAGCGTTCTTATCATGCGGCTACTTGCTTACTTGATATATCTCTATGGATGCCAGCGGATGGAGATTATTTCACTTAAGTTAGGATGATATTGATTTTCATGCATATGAACTCATCTTTTCTTTGAATTGCACTTTTTCAAACTCTTTTCCTAAAGAATGAAATCAAAGCATTCCAAAGTAAGTGATTTAGTCTATATTTGTTTGTTTCACATAGTAATTTTAGCATTAATAATCGAAATAAGAGCATATATCGGTAATGAATCTCATATCTAGAATTAATAAAGGTCAATCTTTGATCAGGTGAGTAGGGGTGCTCAATTCATGACCTTTCCCCCTCATACCTAAGTTCCTGAGTCGAGACACTATGGTTACGATAGACAGTAGCCTTTGGCACGAGTCATGGATTTTCTAGTTTTCTCAAAAGATTAGGTGGCGACTCTGAGTCTGGTGATGTAGTCCATTTTTTGCATTTCTTGTGATTAGTAGATTTTCTATGGATTTTCCAGATTTGGGCTCTCATTATGTTTCACATTGCACTTGTGGAACCAGACCTAGAGGGTTCTAAATGTTAGGCGCACTCAGACCCCCCCTCCTAGGAGATCCCACAATAGGCTTTGCCAAACCATGTAAATTATTAGTGTCTTGTATGTTTAATTATCTCTCTCTCTCTCTCTCTCTCTACATTCTCTAATACTTGTTCTAGTTATTGTTTTTGTTCTTAATATGCATAGCCATCATCAACCTTTAGTGTGGTTGAGTGTTCTAGTTGCTCTCCAACAACACTAGATAATAATTTTTAAAATAAGAGACTTACTTTGAGTGAAGAAAAGCGATGAGTAAGTGAACCACAAAGCTGTCGCAAGCTGATTCCTCCATGGGCCTTCAAATTCTGGATTTGATTGGCGCTCCAAAAGCCAAACTATGAAGACAGTGTAGAACAAGATTGCACTAGTAAATACCCACATTTCCTTGGTGAATGGCCTCAAGAACATCCATGCTTTCTGAGCTTCAGGCTTTGCTGTAACTATCATAGTTAGTCGTGACTCTATAAATGGTTGAGTGAATTCCACATACTTTGATCGATTGGCCAATATTGTTATATCGCCAATGGCAGCATCAAAAGTCTTCAATATTGTTCCATTCCATACATAGTCAACAACATAAAGCTATTATCGCATTCAATTCAATAAAGAAAGACAAATGCAAAAGAAGCCTTAGATGTTTATATATGATGCTTTAAGGAACCTAGTTATTAAGCAATGATGATTGTCTTTGCATATGATTAGCTTGAGTTCATTTGCCTACTTAATTGGGATATGATCTTTAATTAATGTTATTTTTCGACTTAACTTTTTTCTTTTCCTTTTCCTTTTTTTTTTTGGGTATGGTCTTCTTGATGTAATGTGTTTGTACACATTGTATTTTTTATTTACATCAATGGATCCTTTTTTGTCAGATCAAAAATAAATAAATAAATATTAAAAGAAGTTAAAAAGGAAGTTTAATTAGTGAAAAGTGTTTTGAAATAGGAGAAAAATATCTCACAACCTTTAATGTTTATCTTTATTTGAAATAAGAGCCAACAAATAATATGAACATAAAATGAAAAAGTTCTCAAGCATATCAATATAAGTAGGATTCTCTTAAGTCACTAAAGTGCAGTGGACAGTCCAAGCCTACTACGGGCATGCTCTAATACTATGTTTTGTTTATCTTTTAGCCACTTATGTTTAGATTAATGGGGGGGGGAGGGGGGAATTTTGAACTGCTAATCGTATCCATATGATTTCATTAACTTAATCTTCATAAAAATAAATGGTCAATTTTCAAAATTATACTTGTTGTCTATTAAAAAAATGATAAAATTACGTAGTTACTAGTATATGAGATATGAGATCAACAGGTCTGAAAAATGAACAGGCCAAATCATTGAAGTGAGATATATAATAAACCTTCTTTATAAACTAGATAGTTTGTCTAGTCTACTTTAGTAAACTAGAAAGAAATCTTAATCTATCCATAATTATCTTGCATCACTTAACAAAAACATTTGGTACATTTAAATTTGTTTGTGTTGTGTGCATCATATGATCACTTAGAAAGAGACTAGAGGGATGGGGTTACCTTGTAAAAGACTTCATCAATTAGTCCCTCATATGTGCCATCATAGGGAAAATAGTCAACACGTATGGGATATTTCTTCTGAACAATTTTTAAGACCTCCTCAAAAACATCAATGCAAAAACCAGAATACCTCTTCTCAGTTGAATTACTAATTGCTTCCACCTTCACAAATTTTTCAAAAGCAGTTTTACTTGGTACTCCAATTCTCATCGCTTCTGTATTAGTAAGCATTACCCGTCCTTTTGGGGTATGTTTTAGGTTTCCCGTCCAAGTTACTAAATCTTCCAACGCTTCCATGTTGTCATCACTACCATCATCATTAATGCTCTTGTTGTTCTCTGTGAAACCAAACTTTGATGACCAAAACCCAAGTTCTTTATAACTCTTTCCAATGACATTAACAATGGAAAATAGTGGTGATTGCCATAATTGTCTACTTTGGAAGTGAATTCTACCACTTAAACTAGTAAAATTGCTTAGCAATATGCTTTTGAGAAGCATTGATGGAGACCTATTGTTGCCACGTATGCTATTCAAGGCATTCGTAATAACAATAATGCTATCAAATGCTCTTATTGCATGTATTCCAGGCTCAAAATTATATTCCTCGGGGTACTTAGATTGAAATATCTCCTTGAAGTGTCGATTGAAGCTTATGAAAGGCCTTTTGTCTTTAACAAAATAAGTCTTGATTCCTATAACACCTTCCATGGAAGAGATGACAGAAGCATTCACATAATCGAGCATGTTTCCAATAATGTCTGTAACTATCCATACTTAATCTTTTCCCATAAGTCCCATCCTCTTTGCTTCTTTGAACAAATGTATCGTCAATGATAAAGATGACTGAAGGATGATGAAAACCCTGGATTGTTTGCTCGTTAACTTGGCTAGCTCTTCACGAACAAGTCTTTTCGGATCAGCCAGAGAAGAGATTGGGGGAACAATCAAACGATGCTCAATCTCCAAGTTTACATTTTGAATTTGATCGGCTAATGCAGCAAACATTCCAGAATCACCACCATATCTATCCAATTCATAAATTACTATAGCACGTCGCCATTGGAAGTGTTGAATTGGCTACAGATTCTGGAGGTCACCCCATGTGAAAGGGGTGATCCTCATGTCAACAATGGAAGGCCACCAACCTCATGTCAACAATGGAAGGCCACCAACCATGTCAAAAGTCAAAGAATGAGGGCTCTCCCACCTACTCCTTTGTGTATAAATAGAGACGGGAGGGAGAGGATATAGATATCAGATGTGGAGCTGAGAGGTGTGAGTTGAGAGCAAAGAGAGAGAGAATTACAGAGAGTGTTGTAATTCACCATTTTGTTCAATATAATCCAATTCATAAATTACTATAGCACGTCGCCATTGGAAGAACTGGGAAATTGCGGCAATGAATCTCATTTGTTCAGCAACATTGGTTGCCATCTGTACCAAGAAAGGCCATTGTAATGGTGCCATTGATGCAATGCCAGTTGTCGCAAATGAGATAATTGGCACTTGAGCTTGGTTGCAAATCTCCGCTACTAACAATGTTTCTATCCATGTCTCCATGGCAATGATCACTTGAACTTTATCCTGTTTAATAAGCTTTTCAGCTATTGAAAATATACATTTATATTTTTTCGAGAAATTTCAAAAAAATGGAAGCTAAGGTAAGAATAAAAAATAATTACAATAGGTTGAGAAATTGAAATACAATGCAAAAACATTTATCTCTTTTTACTCTTTTTCTTCTTCAACCCTCCATCTTTGGCTATCGTTCCTCATTTGTCACCCCTTCTCAACCAACCCGCTACCATCAACCCTACATCCACCCTCCTTAACCTTTGTAGCCCTCCTTGACCTATGTAGTGCTTCCTTAAAATGAGTAATTAAAACACTTATATTTAAAGAAAACCAAAACTAATAAAAGATGAAAATAGAAGAAACTAATGCTTGTTTTGGGTGTACATGGACAAACTAAAGAAATACTATCCTTAAGAGAGATCACTACACTAAAAACTCGAAAGGGCGATACGGGAAAATGTTAGAGCAATGAAAAATAAAATTAAATAAAAAAAATGTAGAAGAAGCTTGCAATGTTGAAAACCCGAAAGCGCAGTTTTGGAATTCATTATGGCAACTCTCCCAAAATTATGGCCCTTTTATGCTTCTCGAACTTGGCACGATGTAACACTTGTGCTTCATAAATTAATTAAATGTGTTTAATTTCATCATTTTGTTATTGAGATCTTTTTGGCGGTGTATCATTGTGCTGGTTGAGTGAGAATTTGATCTATACTTTGTTGGGGTTGCTCATTTGTGCTTAGTTTTGTCGAAAAGGTGCTTTGGAACCTTGAATTTATGTTCTGAGTGTCGACACTCAACCTCTTGGGGTCAACATTTATTTTCTCTTTTTTTTTTTGCTTTCTAGGGTCGACACCACTAGACTTGAGTGGCGTATAGTGCGACACTACTTTATGGTGTCGACACTAGGGCTTGTTGGTGTCGACACCCAGTCTGTTTTACTCTTGCTTGGGGCACCACTGCAGTAAGTTGTCGACACATCCTCTTTAAGAAGTCATTGACAAAAAGTTGGGAAATTCTACCAGGTTTTTGGGCCATACTTTTTGGAATTTTTAAGGTATATTTTAAGTTGACTTTAGGGCTAAACACACTTTTGTCCTTGTACTATGTATAGGCCCTTTTACACACACACACACACACTCTCTCTCTCTATCTCTTCCCTTTATGCCATGACCACCATCTTCTCTTTCTAACTCAAGCTTTTTTATGCAAACTCTCAGATCTATCCATTTCAGGTTATCCCCTCACCTTGATCCTTTGAGATAGATTATAGAGCACGTTGAGGGCATCATTCTAATCTGAGCAGATCATCGTTTCACCACTTTTGACTTTTGGGGATTTTACTCCTCTTGCTTAGAGGTAGGAATTTCTTTAATTATTTACAATACCTCTCTATAAATAGACACGTGGTAATTTTTATTGCATAAAAACATGGTTGTTTTGAGGTTTTTCTAAGAACATGAAGGTGGGGGTTTCGGGTTTGAGCATTATGAGTTTAAACTTGTGTTTTGTGCTTGATTATGTCAAATAAGTGTTATTGAGCATGCTTAGGATGTTAAAACTTGAAGCCCTAATTTTTATTATTTGTTTTGAGGAATGGGATTTAATTAGTGTTGTGTATGTGTTGAGTGATGATTGTATATCAACAAATTTGAAATTTTGATAAGTAAAAAAGGCATTGGCAAATTATTATGAGTATGGAAGATTGGGAATAACTGGAATTGGTTTCAAAATAAATAAAAAGAAGTTTGTAAAACTCTTTATAAAATGAGAAGTAAGAAGAGTTGATGTTTTAAAATCATTGAATCGGTTATGGAGTTTTATTATGAGAATTGGGGGAATTAACTAAGAAAGCTATGTGATCCTTCATTATGAGAATTATGTTGTCATATTATGAGGGTTGTGTATTATTGTTTAGAGGTTTTGTCCTTAGCCATTGGCGGAGGATGGTATTGACTGTTGTTAAATTAGAATACACATATTATGTGTTGCGGATTAATTGTGTAATCTAGAATGAAGTGGAAATTTGATTTGGTGGATATTATCGTGCTATGTTGAGGTAATGTGATCCTTCCGATTAGTAACCGGTAAAGCGAGCAAATATGCTATTCCGATTAGCATCCAGTAAAGTAGGCTGATGTTATATAAAGGTAATGTGTTCCTTCCAGATAGAACCTGGTAAAGCAGGCTGATATTTGTGATGTGGGGTTTGGCAAGACCACGAGATGCTTGTGTGTTTATTTCTTTGTCATTGGTATATGTGTCTACAAATTGTGATACTTGTAGTAGTTGGAAATGTGTGAGATGTCCTATTGACTCTCAGTGTTCAGAAGTTGGTAATTGACATACTTAGTGATGTTGGAAGGTAAGGTTGTGTTCGGTGGTAGGATGATGTAGACGCTGCCGTCATGGTAGTGTGGGTTTTCTTTTGAAAAATAGTGTAGTTGATACTCTTTTGTAATCAAATTGATGTAGACGTTAAGAATTATTTTCTTAAAATAGTTTAAGAATGATTCTTTTGGGAAGAGATATACCTATGTATGGGTAATTTGGTTATGAAAAGTCACATTGAAGCATTCATGGTCATAACTATTTAAGTGTTGTTATTGTTTAGAGTCATTGGGATCTCTATTGGATTTTATGTGCATCTCACATTGTTAATCATATTTCATATATGAAGTTGAAGACTTGTTCAAGATCGTAGCGTCTTTTGATTGTTGGCCAAGAGGCTTGATATTTGTAGGTAGAAAGCCATCAACGTAAAAAGGGTTAAGCCCTTTCTTTTAATATATTAATGTAAGCCTATGGGCATTTTCATTTAATTGTAATTCATTTTGCATCACATGTATGAATGAGAGGGAACTTTTATTATTTATTGATGTTAATGATTATAGTTTCCACACATTCCTTGATGGAATTGGTTAATAATAATGGATATGGTAATGTCATTCAAGTAATAAAAGTCATGGCATTATACGCCATCCCAACCCTAGTCGTCTCCTTCTCCAAAATCACCAAACAAGCCCTTAAAACCCACGGCCTCAACTGCTTAACCTAGTTGGCCACTATGACTTTCCTAAGGGCTTTGTCCTTATGGGGAGGTCATGGAATCAACTCTCTTTACGGGGAGTCGAATTAAAAGGCCAAGCACTTGTGCTTGTAAAAGGTGGGGAGGCTAACTCCCATAGGTGCTAATTTAATAACTAATAACTGACTTTCGCAGTTGGAAAAAATAAAATAAAATAAAATAAAGCTTCCTGGGCATCGCCTTCTCCCCCTACAACAATCAATGGCATGCCTTGCGCAAACTCTTGGTTTTTGAGCTTTTTAGTCCGAAGAGAGTGAAACTATTTTATCGCACGAGAGAAGTTGAGATCAATCATTTCATTAAGTCTATGTCCTCCAAAGCATCTCCCAACAAGGTTAATCTCAATGAGAGGATATTTACTATGGTAGAAGGGATTGTGTGCGAGGTTGCTTTCGGCAAGAGCTATGAAGGAAAGAGTTTTGAGGGTCAAAAGTTTGAAGATGTCATTGGTGAGACCATGAAAATGATGGATAGTTTCTCTTCTGAAGACTTTTTTTCTCATCTGTGGAATGGGTTGTAGATGGATTTAGCAGGCTAAGGAGAAGGCTGGAGAAGTGTTTGGGAACCTTGATGATTACTTTGAAATGGTACTTGATGAGCATCTTGATTCTACAAGAAAGAAATTAGAGGGAGAAGAAGACTTTGTTGATGCGTTGATCCGATTATGGAAAGAAGAAGGTAGTGATTTTGGTCTTACCAAAGACTGAATTAAGGCACTTCTTCTGATAATAAAACCAACTTCTTAATCAGCCCTTTCTAATTGGCATTTTTTTGCTTGATTAATTATAGTCATCTTTCATGTTTTGTTGAGGTTGTTGCAATAAACAAAATAGGTAAAAATTAAATACAAGACTACTGTGTATTATTGGATTATTTCATTAAAAAATCACCACGTCTTGCCTTTTGGTTTTTATGTGGCATGGTGCATTTCACTATTTTTTATATATAAATAATAAAATAGATTAAACAAATTCAATGATAAATGTGGATCCATGAGATTCATTGTCGTATATAGATAGTGAAAGTATTTGCAGATGGAAAACGTTAATGACCTAGAAAAATTAATTTGGCTATGGTCACGATTGAGAGAGATTTGTAAGAAGAGGAAGTATTGAGGCAGTAGGAAGTGTAGCAAAGGTAGGAGAAGGGGCTGATAGTGGAAAAGAAGACTTGGGGTTTGAGAATGGTGTTGAGGAGAGAATATGAAGGTGGAGGTGGGGGTGGTAAAGTTGGGTAAGGTAGGTTTCAGGATCAGGAAATTTGAACTTTAATTAATTATAACTATGGCACAATTACTTGTTTAATTAAGTTATTAACTAATTTAAGCTCGTTTGTTGCTTAATCGATACACACAAACAACTTTTTATTTCCACGTAAGATTAGAGAAATAGATTCTCTACACTATATGTATTTGTATTAATATTATTAAGATGGATTAAGAATAATTAATTGTGCTTAAGGGAACATAAAGTTGCATATTTGCACAAAGGCCACTAGATACTTTGAAATTTGAATATTTGGGGGCAAGACTATATTTTTCGAAAGCCCAACCAATCGCCTTACTTGGCTAATATTTCTCTCCCCTATGTCACCGTTACCTTTTCTCTTTTTGGTAGTGTTAAGACCTCGATGATGTTTGATAAAGTTGAAAACTGAAAATTAAGTACTGAAAACTAAATGCCAAATTTTTTAAGATGAAAAACAATTTAATAAAAATGTAAGTGTTGAACTAAAAATAAGTTGTTTGATATGCATAAAACCAAATTTGAAATTTATTATTTTCAAATTATATATTTCAATATTTATGTTGTAATGGTGGTGGTAGTGGTGTGATGATGGTATGGTGGTGGTGGCAGTGGTAATAGTAGTGGTGGTAGCAGTAAAGATGGTAGTGATAATAAAATAATGGTGGTGCTTGAGGCAATAATCATAATGATAATG